TGGCTCTAGGTGAGTGATCACACCATCATGATTACCTGGGTCGTGAAGATCTTTTTTATATAGTTCTTCTCGGTATTCTTGCCACCTCTTCTTAATTATCTTCTGTTAGATCCATACCATTTCTGTCCTTTATTGTGCCCATCTTTGCATGAAATGTTCCCTTGGTATCTCTAGTTTTCTTGAAGAGATCTCCAGTCTTTCCCATTCTATTGTTTTCCTCTATTTCTTTACATTGATCACTGAGGAAGGCTTTCTTATTTCTCCTTGCTATTCTTTGGAACTCTGCATTAACATGGTCTACCGGAGAAGGGAAACTTCTATTAAAAGAATATTCCTTTCATCAACTGTTTTTTTTAACTTGAAGTATAGTTCATACAGGGCTTCCCTAATAGCTCAGTTGGTAAAGAATCTGCCTGCAATTCAGGAGACCCCGGTTTGATTCCTGGGTTGCGAAGATCTCTGGAGAAGGGATAGGCTACCCACTCCAGTATTCTTGGGCTTCCCTGTGGCTCAGCTGGTCAAGAGTCCACTTGCAATTCAGGAGACCTGGGTTCAATCCCTGGGTTGGGAAAATCTCCTGGAGAAGGGAAAGGCTACCCACTCCAGTATTCTGATTATTTCAGTATAGTTCATACAGGATAAATACTTGATCTTTCCTTTTACTAGTTTTTAAAATAATGGTTGGTTCTCTGCATGCGTGTGTGCTAAGTTGCTTTAGTCGTGTCTGACTCTTTGTGACCCTATGGATTGTAGCCCACCAGGTTCCTCTATCCATGGGATTCTTCAGGCAAGAATACTGGAGTGGGTTGCCATGCTCTCCTCCAGGGGACCTTCCCAACCCAGGGATCAAACCCATGTCTCTTCTTCTGCATTGGCAGGTGTGTTCTTTACCACTAGTGCCACTATGGGAAGCCTGGTTGGTTCTCTAGTATTCTCCAAAGGTGATCATATTTTAAATATAAAGATATAGTTCACATACTATAAAATTCACCCTTTTAAAGTATACAATTCACTAGTTTCTAGTGTATTCACAAAGTTGTGCAACCATCACCACTAGGTGATCATTTTTAAAAGCCTCAGTATAAACTCAGGGACATATTTGATATATTTTGATCCAAAGCAATTATTCTTTTAACATTCAATTGTTTTTCATCTTTAGCGAGCTGGAGCCTCTTTAAACTGGCTCCTCAGACCTTCTGACACTTTCTTTTTTTGCTTTCTTTTATGAGAAGATATTGCTGGTTCATCTTGTACTGTTCTGCTCCAGCCCAGGAATCAGTCATTTCTCCCAGAAACCATGGTTCCTGTAATGGGAAATTATATATGGAGATCCCAGTTTGGGCGCCTGGGGTGCTCATCATTACTGCTTATTGTTTCTAGACCTCATATATTGATGTTTACCTCTTCAGTAGAGCTAATTTGTTTGCTTTGTCCTGTGATTTATAATCCATGAGGTAGAATTTAGCTATTAGTAATTTTCAGGAATTAAACAGTGTCTTATTCAACTAATGATTTGTGTGAAAAATACTGTTCTAAAACCACCTAATTGTCAGTCAGTGTTTATTTTAAAATTATTTCCCTTGGGTAGGGTGGTTTAAAGATTCAGAGTAAAAATTCTTACTTGGCATTAATTATAGTCAGCTGAATTACAACATGATGCAACATGTTCATGTTAAGTATAACTTAAGTATCAAGTACCAGATAAATGGTAAATTTTTATAGGGCATGCTTAGTTCAATAAAACTAGGTTCTTGCTAGGGGAAAGTAAATGCTTTTTTAACCTTTGGGATATAATATAATGAATTACTACAACTTTATTCAAGAGGGTCTGTATTTCTCATAAGCTAGTAATTTATTGTTTCTTATTTGGATTTCCGTCAGTCAGTGATGAGAAATGAAAAGCAACAGCTTCTTTTTTCTTTTTTTAACAGCTTCTTTTCTGAATAATCTTTTTCTGAAGAGATGATTGAAAGGCCTTGTATTATTCCTGGCTCAAGGACCCATAAATATGTCAGGGATTTTTAGTTAAGTTATTAAAACACTGTCAAAACCTTGAGTAGCTTTTAACTATCTGATATACATTAACAGCTCTGAAGGAACAAATAAATTTTAGCTCATAACCAAAATCCCTTTGACTGCTTTGAAACCATCTAGTTTGTATTCACAGGATATGCCTTTGAAACGTTCTGCTCTCAATCTCCCTAAATAAAATTTCACTTTATTGTGTGTTTATTTAAGTGAGAAAATGAAAGCACTTAAGAATGTTTGTATTCAGCCATACACAGCCTCCTTATTCTGAGTTCCCTAAGGGAAAGGACCACATCTTTTTACTCCCTGTGCCCAGAATTCTCTAGGTCCCTAATATTAAAACAACAAAAAAGTATCTATGCAAGAGAGGCTGTAGTAGGTCCCTTAAATGCAAGGTCTCAGGTGCTTAATCATTTAGTACCTGATTATCAAATGCTTTCAGTGATTTTTAGGTGTCTTCAAGGTCCTACTGTGAATATTTTCACAACCTATATTTTGTGTTTTATACAACATGGAGCAATCTCCTTTTTAAAAAATATATTTATTTCTTTTTTTGGCTGTGTTGGGTCTTAGTTGTGGCATGTGGGATCTAGTTCCCTGATCCTGGGCCCCCTGCATTGGGAGCACGGAGTCTTAGCCACTGGGCCACCAGGGAAGTCCCAGCATCGAACCATTGAACAATTTCTGATCTCTGCTGTTCATACTTCCTCTGCAACTTCACTTTTATCACATGAGAATTTTGTATTAAATGTACTTCCAGTAAAATGATTTTTATCATATACTGTTTCTTACAGCCTTCTGTAAATGGATTCAAAATACCTTTTTTAAAAAACGCCAAAAAAGAAAAAGATTATAGCTGACCTCTTCTGTACAATCATGCATAGACTAATCTTTGTTGGATTTCAATAATGGTTTGTTAAATATAATTAATAGAACTAGGCCATCCTTTCCTTGTTTCCCATCAAAGTTAACAGTCTTTTAAAAAAAGTATTTATTTTTGGTTGTGCTAGGTCTTAGTTGCAGGCATGTGGGATCTAGTTCCCTGACCAGGGATTGAACCCATTTCCTCCACATCTGGAGCAGGGAGTCTTAGCCACTGGGACCACCAGGGAAGACCCCTAACAGCCTTTATATGGATGAAAGGTAATGGCAGAAGGCTCTTTATTTATTTATTTTATTTATCTATTTTTATTTATTTTTTAAATTTTTTCCATTTATTTTTATTAGTTAGAGGCTAATTACTTCACAACATTTCAGTGGGTTTTGTCATACATTGTCATGAATCAGCCATGGAGTTACATGTATTCCCCATCCCGAAAAAATATGGAACGCTTCACGAATTTGCGTGTCATCCTTGCGCAGGGGCCATGCTAATCTTCTCTGTATCGTTCCAATTTTAGTATATGTGCTGCCGAAGCGAGCACCAGAAGGCTCTTTAAAAGTATCTATACCCACTATGGTTGTGATAAAAATAAATAAATTAAAAAAAAAAAAAAGTATCTATACCTAAACTGCTTTTGACTTTTTAAATTGAGCAAACATCTTTTTTATGTTCCTTGACACTTTTTCCTCAAGTGCTGGTGGACTTAGAAGTATTGGAGGGTAATTATGGAAGAACTAGAACAAGAATATTGACATTAGGTTGTGTCCTATGTTGCTTAGTTTACATGATTGATGAGACCCATTCTTGACATGTCATAGCATTAAAAGGAGGCCCTTGGAAAGTACCTATTAAAGGCCGGTTACCAATATTTTGAAATCATATTAGTGTGGGTATACAAGCTATTTTTCACTTTTTTTTTAAACTTGAAAAAATTAGTTTTCTTTACCTTTCTGTGAATAGTATCTCAGCCCAGCGAAATTTTCTATAAATGATGACATGTCATTTATCATTTAATTGCTTGAAAAAAATCAAGGTTAAAGCCTTGAGAGGAAATTTACCATCAAGTACATTTTCAGAGTACTTCTTACTGTACCTTTGCTTTTCCTTTTTGAAAGCAACTTTATAGTTTTAAGAGCTCTAAAGGAAAGGACAAATTGCATTCTGGGAGTTTTAAAAAGTCATCACGGGATACTAAAATAGAAGGCCTCTGTATTTGAAGAGATTTCACACTAATATGCTGTTTGCTTTATAACTTTTGTGTTCTTTACTATTTAGAAGTATCTTTAACATTTAGTGAACTGAACAAAGAAATAAAGCATATCAGATTTGAATTAATGTAAAGGCTATATTATTTAGCGTTTAACTAGTAAGTTTTAAAAATAGTTTGGGTTCACTATGGAAAAAGCATACAATTTCAGTAGCGAAATTGCAAAATACACATTTTTGGAGTTGATGAATGTTTTATTTACTCAAATTCATATTTTTCTAAGTCTCTTTAAACTTAAAAGGCTTAAGTAGTTTGTAAAAAACACCCATATCGCCATTCTGCTGCTCCCTCTGTATTTATTAAAGAATGTGAAAAATTCTTTATTTATGAAAGTCACACAAGACATATATTTCAGACTCCCCAACCGTGAAACATAGGTATAGAGAAAATATACGTTAAAAATTCCTGTTCGTTGCAATGTGCGAAACAAGTTTCAAAATATAACACTTTTTATTTTTCCCGCCGTAAACTAATCAATTAGGTTCTCTGAACGTTTATTAAAAAGAAAAAATGTAACAGTTTGGTACGTGCTCTAGAATAACCCTTCTGCCCCTCCTTTTGCCCACACACCCATTTAGACTGGCAAGCCTATTTTCATTTTATTTCAAAGTTGCCTTTTTTTTTTTTTAAGCGAAGGCACGGGACAGTGGGGGTTGCTAAATTTATCTTCTTCTCCAGCCACAGGGATGAAGAAAACACATTTACTGCGGGCGGGGGTCTGAGGGCCTGCAAACAACTCGAGCAGGCGCCTGGGCCAGGACCGGCGCGGAGAGGCGGTAGGTCTCCGGGGAGGGCCCGGGGGCCGGCCGCGGCCCTCGGGAGATGGTGGGGGGCGGCCGGGCCGGTTGCGGGCCTCTTGCCTCTCCGTGGGGTCGGCGGACCACGGCCCCGCGCGGGCTTTTACGGCCGAGACGGCGGCAGTGGCGCGTGTGTAGCGGCGGCGGCGGCAGCGGGCGGGAGCGCGGAGGAGGTGGAAAGAAGGGGGGCGCTGTCACGGAGACTGCGGCCGCCGGAGACCCCGCCGCAGCGAGGCCACTGGGCTCCCCGGTCGCGGAGCGTGAGCGCACCGACCGGGGCGCCAGGGGGACACACCGGGCGAAGGAGGGGGCCTATCTATCCTTCCGCATTTTCCTGGGTCTCTCTCCCGGGCGGTGACGTGACGTGCTGACGGCGGGCCCGTGCCGGGGAGCTGGGCCGCTTTTTGTCAGCTCCGAACTCGGCCCCTCCTCCCTCCCTCCGCCCGCCCCACCAGCCGGAGCCCGGCCCAGTGCTCCAGAGAAAGGCCGGCCTGCAGCACCCGCCACCGTCGCCGACCGCCCGCACGCCCGTCCGGTGAGTTCCGGGCGCTGCCGCGGCCGTAGGGCCTAGCCCGCGCGCAGGGGCCTGGTCCCGGCCTGGTTGGCGGCCCGCGTGGCGCCCTTCCGCGCTAGGCCGGGCGGTGTGGCGCGCGGCGCGGAGCAGGCCCCAAGGAGGCCGCAGTTAGGCCCGGGGAGGAGCCCGGCTGCCCCGAGCGGCGGCGGAGGCGCGCTCCATAAACGGGCGGGGGTTGGGGGACGGTTGCCCGGTGGCCCTGGAGACGGCCGAGGGGCCCCGGTCGGTGTCGCGGCCGGCCTGGGGCATCGCGCCGCGGTGAGGCCTGGCAAGGAGGCGAAGGCTGCAGGCGTGAGGTGAAGGCCGCAGGCCGGCCGGGCCGATTTTCGCTATGTAAATATCGACGAGGGGGGGAGGGACGGGGGAAAAGATGGCGGCACCTCGGCGCCTGCTGCAGGGGACGGTTGAGGGGGTTGTCGGGAGGGGGAGCCGCCATCTTGAAGGCGGTGTCTGAAGAGAAAATTCCGCTACAGCCCGTGAGGGGGGGTCGGAGAGCGGGCGGCGGCGGCGGCGGCTCCGGTGACGGGTCCCGGAGGCCCGGCACGGCAGCGTGTGCGTGCGGAGGGGGCGTGCTCGCTCCCCACAGCGGCCATTGCCCTCGCCGCCATGATGGGCGCTCTGGCTCCAGTCGCTCGGCGGCAGCGCCACCTTCCTGCCCTGCCTCCCGCAGCCCCGTGACTGGCTCCTGCTTCCGCTGTATTTTAACTGAGTTGCCGCAGGCGGCCATAGCTGGCGCCCGGGCGCCGGGGCCGTCTTGTCCCTCAGGTCCCTCCCCCCGCGCTGGTAGTCATTTGAGGGTCGTCCGGACGGATGGCCGCCCAGGCATGTGGACTCATCAACGCAAAAGGGACCCCAAGACATTTTTAAATTTTTACCACATCGCAGTCACACGTGACTGTTAGGGTTCCCTAGATGCAGTCGTTTTCCAACAATCACTGTCTTCTCGAGTAAAAAAATTAAGGAGTAAAAAAAAAAAATTGATAGGTAAGAAGTTCTTACCACTTTTATGCTATAAGGGAAAAATGCAAATTGCACAGTACGGAAACGGAGGAATGAAAAATCTTAAGGAGTCATTTGAATTTCATTAATTCGGCAACAGCTTTCTAGAAAAGATACATTTAAGCTCTTAACGATCTGTTGGTAGCATTTTTCCCCCCCAGGAGTAAGAAAAGGGCAGAAGTTTTATCTTGTTACTGAAGGACAGCATGAAGTGATGCAGTGCTGTTCTGTACATGGTATGGTATTCAGTTTCTCTATTTGATGTGAAAAACTCTACGGTGCAGTTCCACCTTTTAAGTAGTTTTGACTGCATACTCTACTACTCTCCCGTGAACTCGGAGCCCAGTGCCAGCTGGTGCTCCGAAAGATTAAAAAGATTCTTGTAGTGCAGACGGCGACTCCAAGAAGTTCGTTGTTCAGAGGCAGATGAGGTGAGATGTACTGAGGTGGTGCGGGGAAGGTACAACCAGTTATTGGGGTTTCAGAGGAAAGCAAGGTTAGGTCACATTTTGAGGTTACTGAAGGATGGGTAGGACTTTGTTGACGGAGATGGGGGTGGGGAAAGGGCGTTTCAAGGGTGAACGCTTCTTACAGAAAACAGCAAGTGTGTATAATTTGGCTGGAGTAGATGGTGTAGGTAGGGGAGTGGCGGCTAAGGTAGATGGAGCTTACTTTGCAGGTAGAGAGGCTTATACTTGATGGGAAAGGCCCAGAGAGCCCTCAAGTATCAAGAGTGATGACGCACCTGAGCCCGGCTTTATAGTCTCTTGGTCCTTCCGCTGGCCTCAGAAGAGTTTCAAAGTTGAGATATAATGAGAGTAGCAAAGTTAACCTTGAAAAGCAGTGTTTCACTACGGGAATGATTATCAAGAATGTTCGGAAGTTCAGGCAATTTTGCTACTTTTAAAAAATAATCTGTTATAGATAACTGCTCCTTTTTCCTGTCCTAATTTCTCACTTCAAGTAACCTTTTGTTCAAGAGTTGCTATAATTTCTGTAATAAACCAATGGGGAGGGACTTCTAGTTTTCATTTACCGTGGTTGAACATTACAGGATCAGTGCTGTGGGTTACTTTACCAAAAGGAGGAATGAACCTGTAAGTATCCCCATGGTAATTTTTAAAGAAGTCAGTTTTAATGATGATTAAAAAGGCAGCAACCTTCAGATGGCTTTTTTGGAATCCCTATTTTTCTGTTTGGTAAGAGGAACCACCTTTTTGATTAATAACGTAACTAATACTTTGCTAAACTAAGCATTCTCATGTTTTGATTAATATGTGAACTAGTCTAGATGCACATTTTGGGAATGTGTTTCCTAGAATTTTATGATAACGTAAATTTATAGGTAGCATAAATATTCATTAGAAAGTTGTTTCACTTTTTCCATTTTTTTTTTTTAGAGTCTCATGTTGATTGTAAAAGGCCCTGGGTTAGAAACGTTTGAGACAGTGCATTGTAGGAGGCTGACCCTTGAGCAAGATACTAAGGTGGGCTGTGGTTGTTGAGATGGTAAAGGTAAACGTAAACTTGAAAGAACCAGTTGCTTTGTGTCTTGACAACTGGGAAATACGTAGAACTCTAAAAGAGAGAATTGTTGTTGCTGCACATGCAGCACAGCAGCAGTGGGTGTTCCAGTACAGCAAGAGTGGATGAATAAGATTCCGAGTTGGACTCAAGTTGTGTAGTTAAGAGGACAGAAATCTATGGTTTAAAACTGGTGGAACACTGGCCATCTTGGATAAACGAGGTGTTGATTTTCAATTTGTGTATCTTTCAGATAGATGGAAGTTTGCTTTTTTAAAAAAGCATGCTCATAATGCATTGAAGAAAAGCTTTTCTTTCGCATTGCTGTTTGTAAATGCTTCTTTTCTAAACCCATCTAGATTTTTAATGCCACTGATGTCCTTGTTTGTATCATTTGTGTTTGTGTACACTGGCAATTGCAGACTTTTCTTTTTTACTCTTTAACTCCTCAACCTGTCCTTTAAACCACTCCGCCTCAGCAGAGATTGCCTAATCGTTTACTTAGGCCAGAAAGAGAGGGCGATCAGATACAAGCAAGTGAATCCCCTCCCTGCCACTTCAGACTCTTCCTTTGTCTCTCCCTAGGCTGCCCCGTTCTCTGCCTGCAGGAAGAACTGGCCTCCTTCAGGCCAGACGCTCTGCTGGTGGGACCACCGGTCCCAGAGGATGGAGCTCTGGCAGTGCGGTTCTGCCACTTGCATCGCTGCCATCTAACTCTGCTGGTGCCTTTCCCTGTCCTTAAAAACGTTCCTGGGTTTGCTCATCTTACAAAAACTTCAGCTATTTTTCCTTTCACCGGCACTTTTATTTCTTTTCATCCCACTCTTCCTAGATCCTATACTTCCCAAATTGGGAAACTTTTCCACAGCATGTCAGCAGGTGTATCTCATAAAAGTGTTCTGTGTTTCAGAAACTCTGTGCCTTCTCTGTCTTCTGGCATGGGATTTTTCTCCAGGTCAGTCGTCTCTGCTGTTTTCTTGAATCTTCTCCCATGGTTTTGGTGCCCTTTACGATGCCCACCCGCTTTTCTAGTTTCTCATCTAGCATTTCCAGTTGCTTATTAACCACCTCTATTCAGGTGTCTAACATGGCTGAAACCAAAGAAGCCCAGTACTGTTTACTGGGGGGAAAATTGTTCTTTAAACCCAGAGCCCCTAAAATAACTTCTGCTTCTAGCTTGTTTTCTTTCTTTTATGGCACTGTCATTTTCCCAGACTTATTCTGTCTCATATAGCAGTGTCGGTATGTTTTAATTTAGCATTTAACCGATTTTGTTTTAGCTGTGTATTTATATTTTTGTTATCTTTTCTAAACCTGTAGAGGCAGATTCTCATTTATCCTTGTCCCAGAGCATTACCTGGCACATAGTAAAGACAGTTACCTAAAAACAATTATCTCAATTATTGGGTGCAGAGAATTGTATGTAGTTGGATAGTTTTCAACTATTAAAGTATCTGTCTAGTCACCGTGTTCTTTGACCAAGGGGTGTATATAGTAAGACGTACCACATAAGCTGAGTAACCCCCACTGCTTAAACTTGGGGTTAATATAGCCAGTCTCCTCTTATTCCTGTCAAATTATTTTTCAAAGAGCTTTTTTTTATAAAATCCAGGAATCTTGTAACTATATTTTACTCAAAGGGAGGTATGTTTTGAGGAAGCTGCATGACCTTGAAAATACAACCATTAGGATAGAAAAAATATTTAAAATTTTAAAATTATGAAATATCTCAGAATTGCTAAAAAGCAAGTATCGCTCAGATTTAACAGATCTTAAATATCTTACATGTATTTGTTTCATAACTTGCTCTGTATTTAAAGAAAACCTCACAGAAAGAGTGCCTCCCTATCCCATTCCTGTCTTTTCTTTGCCAGAAATAGCCACTGTCCTAATACGTATGTACCAGAAACAATATCAAGTACTGCTTTGTGTGTTTTAATTTTGCATATATGGTATCGTACTGTGTTTATCATTTTATATATATTTTTTCACTTAGCAAAGTGTTTTTTGAGATTTTTTTCATGCTTGTATGTGAATCTAGTTTAGCGATTCTCAGAGTGCTCCAGGAATTCCCAGGGATCCTTGAGATTCTTCCAGCCTCATTCTTTTGTGCACTGCACAAGTACTGTACAAAGGCGCCACGAAACATGATGTCATGATAGATGGAACACAGACGCAGTTATGGGAATCCAGCTGTCCTCTATTAAGCCTGTCTTTGAAGAGATTTGCAGAAATGTAAAACAGTGCTACTCTTTTAACAATTTTTTTGTTTTGAAAAATAGTTATTTAAAAATCAGTATTCATGTTACATACAGTGGGTTGATTTTCTATGAACTAATAAATCTTTTTAAGATGTCTCGGATTTAATTTCTAACATAAACATATCTAGATAGAACCCACATAAACAAAAACTCTTTGAGGTCTTCAATTTTTAAGAGTGTAAAGAGGTCTCGAGTCCAAGAGTCCTCTTTTCAAATTCAAGAAATTTGAAAACCACTGATCTACTTCATTCATTTTACTTATATTTTAATGTGTAAATATACTGTGGTTTATTTATCTATTCTTAGGCGGGGCCATTAGGTTGTTAGCAGTTTTCTGCAATTTCAAACAGTGTGGCCCTGAGCATCCTAAATAGGGGGTTCTTCTCTCTCGAGATTGTGGAAGTCGAGTGGCTACATTCAAGAGTCAGTGCATTTGTCGATTTTATTGGGAATTGTTGAATTGTGCTCCATTTGACATCCCCACCAGCTTTGTATGAGTCTGTTTCTCCAGACCACTGCCAAAAGATTAGACTTTGCAGTTTTCTCCAGTCTTTTGGGTAAAAGTGGTATCTCATTGCTGTTTTCATTTAGCATTTCTTAGATTACTCATGTTGTTGAACTTTTTTTCCCATGTATTTATTGGCTGTATGAGTTTTCTGTGATTTACTTGTGCCTAACTTTGGTCCATTTTTTATTGGATTGTTGCCTTTTCCTCACTGGTTTATGGTTATTCTTTTTATATTCTGAATATTAATAATGTGTAATTTTACACACAGAAAATATCATTTTCTAGTCTGTGGCTAATCTTTTAGTTTTGTTTGTAGAATGTTTTTTGTGTAGGACTTCTTAATGTGAAAGTAGTAAGTTTTCTCAGTTTTTTCTTTTTTAATGTTTTATGTTTTCTCGTATCAGCAAGAAATTCTTCCCTTGCCCCAAGGTTATA